GTGATGCTGGCCTCATTGAATGAGTTTGGAAGTATTCCCTCCTCTTCTACTTTTTGGAATACTTTAAGAAGGATGGGCATTAGCTCCTCTTTAAGTGTTTGGTAGATTTCAGCTGTGAAGCCATGTGGACCTGGAATTTTGTTTGTTGGGAGTGTTTTTCTTACACATTCAATTTTATTGCTGGTCATTGGTCTGTTCAGACTCTGTTTCTTCCTGGGTCAGTCTTGGAAGGTTGTACTTTTCTAAGAATTTGTCATTTCTTGTAGGTTGTCCAATTTATTGGCACATAATTTTTCATAGAATTCTCTAATAATTCTTTGTATTTCTGTGGTATGCATTTTTGACTATTCATTTCTCTTTTCTGATTTTATTTGTTTACTCTCTTTTTTTCTTGATAAGTTTGACTAGGGTTTGTCTGTTACTTATTTTCTCAAAGAAACAGCTCTTGGTTTCATTGATTTTTTTTTCTATTGTTTTATTCTTCTCTATTTACATCTGCTGGAATCTTTATTATGTCCCTTCTACTGACTGGGTTTCGTTTGTTCTTCTTTTTCTAGTTTCTTTAATTAGTCAGTTTAGACTGTTTAATTGGGTTTGTTCTTGTTTCTTGAGGTAGGCCTGTGTTGCTACATACTACCCTCTTAGAACTGCTTTTGTGGCATTCCACAAGTTTTGACCTGTTGGGTTTTTGTTTTTATTTGTCTCCATGTATTGCTTGATTTCTGTTTTAATTTGTTCATTGATCAATTGATTATTTAGAAGTATGTTGTTCAGCCTCCATGTGTTTGTGGGCTTTTTTGTTTTCTTTATGTAATTTATTGCTAGTTTCATACCACTGTGGTCTGAGAAGTTGCTTGATAGAATATAATCTTTTTTAATTTATTGAGGCTCTTTTGGGGGCCTCCTATGTGATCTGTTCTGGATAGCATTCCATGTATACTTGAGAAAAATGTGTATCTTCCTGCTTTTGGGTGGAATGTTCTGTAGATATCTAATAAGTCCATCTTATCTAATGTGTTGTTCAGTGCCTGTGTTTCCTTATTTATTTTTTGTTTGGTTGATCTGTCCATTGATGTAAGTGACATGTTAAAGCCCCTTAATATGAATGAGTTGTAGTCTATTTCCTTCTTTAGTTCTGGTAGTATTTATTTTACATATTTGGGTGCTCCTATGGAGGGTACATAGAATAATGGTTATATCCTCCTGTGGCCTGACTCCTTTATCATTATGTAATGTCTTTTGTCTCTTGTTACTTTCTTTGTTTTGAAATCTATTTGTACTGCTACTCCTGTTTTTTTCTATTACGTGCATGAAATATCTTTTTCCATCTCTTCACTTACATGTGTATTTCTTTGGGTCTAAAATGAGTCTCTTGTAGGCAGTATATAGATGGGTCTTGTTTCTTTATCCATTCTTCCACTGTGTCTCTTGATTGGTGCATTTAGTCCATTTACATTTAATATAATTATTGATAGGTATGTACTTATTGCCATTTTATTAATTGTTTTCTGGTTGCTTTTGTAGTTCTTCTCTTTTCTTCCTTTCTTATACTCTTGTTATTTGATGGTTTTCTTTAGTGTAATGCTTGAATTTCTCTTCATAAATTTTTTGTGTATCTGTTACAGGCTTTTGGTTTATGGTTACCATGAGGTTCAAGGATAGCCTCCTAACTATATAACAGTCTATATTAAAGTTGATGATGGCTCTGATCAAACACAATCTAAAAGTACTTCTTTCTTCCTCCTCTACATTTTATGTATTAGATGTTATAATCTGCATTTTTTGTGTATCTCTTGACTGATTTTGTGAATAGTTGTTTTTACTGCTTTGTTTTGGTTTTAATTTCATACTTGCTTGGTAAGTAATTGTCTACTACTTTTACTGTGGGTTTATTTTCACTGGTGAAAACTATTTAGGCTAAAGGACATTTACATCTATAGAAGTCCTTTTAACATGTCCTCTAATGCCATTTTAGTGGTTATAATCTTCAGCCTTCATTTAGCTGGGAAATGCTTAATCTCTCCTTCAAATTTGAATGCTAATCTTGCTGGGTAGAGGATTCTTGGTGGAAGGTTCTTCTGTTCCAGTACATTAAATATTTCATGCCACTCCCTCCTGGACTGTAATGTTTCTGCTGAGAAGTCTGCTGATAGCTTGATGGGATTCCCTTATAAGTTATCTTTTTTCTCCCTCTGGCTGCTTTCAATATCCTCTTGTTTCCTTAATCTTTGTCATTTTAATTATCATATGTATTGGTGTTGTCATTCTGGGGTTTCTTCTGTTAGGGGCTCTCTGATCTTCCATGACCTGGGTGTCTATTTCCTTCCCCAGATTGGGTAACTTTTCAACATTACTTCCTCACAGAGACTTTCTGTTCCTTTGTCTCCTCTTTTTGGTACCCATATTATGTGAATATTGTTTTGTTTGGAGTTGTCAACAGCTCTCTTATTATTTCTTTCCTAGAGTTTTTATTTTCCTCTCCTTCCCTCAGCTTTATATTTTGCAGGGTTAATTGTTCCTCTTCTGTAATTTCCATCTCATTGATTGTCTCCTCTACTTGCAGTAATCTATTCTTTATTACCCCATTGTATATTTCATTTCGATTACTGTATTCTTCAGCTCTGAGTAGCTCTTTTTCATCTCTTCTGTTTCTTTGTTGAAGTCCTCCCTGAGATCTTCAATACTTTTCCCCAGATCAGTGAGCATATTTATGACCATTACTTTGAAATCTTTATGAAGAAGATTGGTGATCTTTGTTTCATTTAGTCCTCTTTTAGTGCCTTATCCTGTAGTTATGTTTGGAACATATTTTTCTGCCTTCTCATCTCATTTTGTCAGGGATTCTATATTTAATGGATCTGGTATGCTTCCTGGTCTCGAGTAATGGCTTTATTTGAAGGTGTCCTGTGGTGTCCAGAAGTTCAAGACTCTTTATTCTCCAGTTCCTAGTTGTCCTTTGCAGTGGAGACCCAGTTGCTGTTGGTGGGAAATGGGCAGGGCTGCCTTTCTGTCTGTCTGTTGTCTGTGGTCTAAGATTGGCGAGGTTTGCTTCAGTCGGTCCTTGAGCAGAGCAGCAGTGCTTCTTCTGGGATCATTGTGAACAGGGCTGCCCCTTCCTTATCCTATAAGAATGGCAGCACTTCTGGGCTAAAGGGGTAGGTGGGTGGTCGTACAGCTTTGGGGCAGGCGCAAGTTGCTTAGTTGTGTGGCAGCAGAGGGTTGTGTGGTGGCAGGGGGCACATGGCATTGGACTAAGCTGTCTTGGAGGAGGAAGGAGTGCTTGGAGCTGGCTCCTGTAGGAGGCAGGGTTAGAATGCTGGGAAAGCCTCCTTCTGCTTGCCAGGCAGCAAAGTCTGATGCCAATGGGCCCAATGGGCTGGTGCAAGAGCTGTGTGCAGGGAAGCGCCTCCAGCCTGAACTGCCAACAGGAAGGATGGAGCGTTCGGGGTTCCTGCGAGCTTCCAACCTGTTGGGCTAATGAGGGTTTGGGGTAGTATTGTCCACCTACCCTTTCTACTGCGGAGAGAGCTCCATCCAACCCTCAACCCTGTGGCCCCCTCCTGCTGCTGGCAAATCTTTCAGACTGCTGCTTCTGTTTTGGGTCTCAGCGGGACTGGTGGAGCACGCCTCTCCTCCACAAGTGGCAGGAGTCAGCCTCCCAGAGTGCTCCGACTGTCCCTAGTGTCCAGCTCTGTTAATCACCAGAACCCAGTGCAATGTGTACTTATGTTCCCAGAGCAGATATCCAGGGCTAGATATGCAGAGTTCCTGGTTGCCTGTCCCCTCCATACTCCGTTTCTCTTCCTACCACCTGTGGGCTGGGATGGCGGAAGGGCTTGGGTCCTGACTGATCATGGCACTGCTACTTTACCCTTCTCTGTGTGATCGTCTCTTCTTCACCAATATAGGTGTTCTGTTTTATATTCGCAGGTCGTTTTCAGGGTTAGTTGTATTTGCTGTAGTTGTGTCCTTGGTGTGTATGTGGGAGGAGTTTTCTGCTTTGCCTTCCGAACCCTGCCATATTTTCCTTCTGCCCAATGATTCAGTATTTTTATACAGGATGACATGATCCCCATGATAAGTTGAGGTGTTTTTTAATATACAATAATAATAGTATTATACACAGCAATAATAATAGTATTAACTCCTTTTAGGTTCCCAGACCCAATTCCAATGTGCATGTGTTGGGGGAGGGGGTCTTACCATGCACAGCACCAAGCAATTCTCAAACACCAGCAGGGTGTTTGAGAGCTCAATTCTGACGTTATCTCCCCAGAGATAGCACCAGATTTCCTAGGTTAAGGGCTCTGTCCTACAAGACTGTCCATCACCCCGCACTCCAGACACCAGTCACAAGCCCCAGGCTCTTACTTGTGCTTCTGACCTACTGGCTACAGATTGGAGGTTCCAATGACTTCCCCCTTAGGTTTGATGAATTTGCTAGATCAGCTCCCAGAACTCAGGAAAACATGTTTGCCAGCTTAATAAAGGATACTGTAAAAGATACAAGTTAACTGACAGATGAATAGATACACAGGGCCAGGTCCCAAATAAAGGAGCTTCTGTCCTCCTGGAGCTGGGGGCCTGGCTCAGTGGCACTTTGAGGTGTTCTGGTTCCCCAAGTGTAGAAGTCTCTCCAACTGAGAAGCAGGATCCAAGAGGGCAAGACGCTCTTCTCCTGGGTCTTTGCAAGGGCTTCATTGCGTATCCCGATTGACTACATCATTGGCCATTGGCTGAGTCAGCCTCCAGCCCCTGCCTTTGGGTGGGGTCCAAAAGTCTTCCATTAACATGGCAAGGCACCCACTTCACCTTTAAGGCTTTGAAGTGTTTTCAGGAACTTTGGATAAAGAACAGATACACCTGGGAAATATATATTTGGTCATATAAGTGACCAAATTTGTGTTTTTTATAACTCATTATATCACGTGAATCTATTTACCTACCATCTGTGATAACTTGGAAATTTAACATAGTGTTTGCCTCTCATTTCAATTCAGGATTCGAAGATCATCTTTTATTTCAAAAGATGAAAAAAGAGAAGACAGAACACCATATCAGTTGGTCAAGAAACTTCAAAAAAAAATCAGACAATTTGAGGAACAATTTGAAAGGGAAAGAAATAGCAAGGTGAGTGTAGTATTGCCCAGAATGAGGTAGATCTGGGAAGAGGTTCTTTGGACAGCATTGATCCATCTCTTTATGGGAGAGAGAAGAAATCTGAGATGCCCAGAAAAATAGTGATCATGTAGATCTGAAATTATATAGATCCTTTTCCTCTTGATTTCCATGCCAGTATTCTTGCAATTGAACATTGTAGCTTTTTATTTCCATTGGTAAAACAGCAATTAATTTCCATTGACATATTATATTAATGCTATTTCTGCTCCCCCCAAAACTGCAATACCAAGGGTGGTGGGGAGATAGGGAGGTAGAGATATTTAATAATTAGAACATGTGAAGTGGAAAGAGTCCTATACGAGTCAGAAGACCCATATTCATACTGGCTTCTGCCATTTGCTTGAGTCTGCTCTCAGAGAGCTTTGCTTAATATTCTGCCCTGGCTACTTAAAATAAGGTAAAATGAAATGAGGATTCAGTGAAATCTCTGCTGTGAGAACTCAAAATGTTATTTGGGCATAAATTAACATAAATATTGCTTACCCACGGAAGGGTCAGTGATTGTGCTCCTTAATTTTTCAGCCTTCCTACAGTGATATTGCAGCCAACCCAAAGGTTTTAAAATGGATGACAGAGCTTACTAAACTGCGGAAGCAAATTAAAGGTATGAAATGTGCTCTTTTTGTAATATATTTGCATTTTAAAAATACTCTTTCTAATGTCTGAGAATCATGGTTATAATATTTGATAATTTGAATCTTGTATGTTGTTTGGCAAGAACAAAAGTTTCCATTTTTTTTAATATTCTTTTTGTTGTGGTCATAGTTGTGGTACTATATTGTATTCTTCCAGATGTCTTTCCTGTGTTTTTATTAGTAATATTCTTTTGAAAGGTGCCCCAGATTATATATTCAATGATGATTATCATATTATAAAATTTATCTGAAATATATTTCAAATATAAAGCAATTTGGTTTTTGGTAGGTATTTCATTAAGATTTTTTTGGTGGGTATTTCATCTAAGACTAAGACTATCTAATCATAATGAACTACTAATACTACAAAGACTAAAGTGTAAATCTTCTTGAATTAAAAACTAGGTCATGTGTTACGGGTGTCAGCCTGGTACAGCCGTTGCTAAGGTGTATTTACGCCGTCTCACAAAGGCTGCCTTTGTCAGTCCCATCCAGTGTAGTTGCTCTTCCCCAAAGCACGTTCCTTTTAGCACTGTGACACCGTTCTATTTTACCCTTTTTTAACACTTAGCACTCTTTTAAATCACTTTATGAATGTGGCTACTTGGTTTTTGTTTTAACTTCCCTAAAAATGTACTTCATGAAAACAGAGCATATCTGTTTATAACTACAGGTGACCCTTGAACAATATGAGTTTTGACTGCACAGGTCCACTCATACATGGATTTTTTTCAATAAATTAATTTGGAATTTTTTTGTAGATGTGTGATAATTTGAAAGAAGTTCTCTTTAGCTTACTTTATTGTAAGAATACAGTATGTGATACCTGTAACATACAAAATAATGTGTTAATTGATTGTTTATGTTATCTATAAGGCTTTTGGTCAACAATAGGCTCTTAGTAATTAAGTTTTTGGAGAGTCAAAAAAGTTACAGCAGGTTTTTGACTGCGTGACATTTGGGGATTGGCACACTCCCCTCCTGCCCCCGACTTTGTTCACAAGGGTCAGCTGTACTGTATCTCCAGTGTTGACGAGGGCATCTTATTTTATAGTAGGCTTTCTATGAATATTGATTGAAAGAATGAACAGTATAGTCCTCTTACTATATATAAAATTTACTATTTTTCATACACTGAACCTATATATAATTTAAATATTTCATGTGACCTTGAAATACCTGAGCCGGTGAGTTATTAATGGATGCTTTCTTGCTGCATATCTTGCTGACTCTTTTGACTTACTTGCATTAGCTGAAATCAACATGACTGATCTGTACTCTTGGTTCTGAACTGTAGATGCAAAACACAAAAGCTCTGATGGAGAATTTGTACCTCAGACACGTCCACGTAGTAACACTCTTCCAAAAAGCTTTGGATCTTCTCTAGACCGTGAAGATGAAGAGAATGAGGATGAATCCAGAGTCATTCAGAAGGAGAAGAAGCCATCTAAGGAAGCAACACTTGAACTTATTCTGAAAAGACTGAAAGAAAAACGTGTTGAGAGGTGTCTTCCAGAGGATATCAAAGTAATCTTGAGCTATGGTGTTTGCCCAGACTAGCCTTTAGAGTCCCTGAAACAAAATAGTTACCACAGTGGCATAGAGCAACCTAGGTAATCTGGCTGATCTGAGTCTGCTCCCCAGGTTTGCAGATACAGAAACATGTTTTCATCAGCATACCAGAAGTGCCTGATGATTCTGGGACTGAGTCACAATGATGAGACTAAAAAACTGGAATGCTGATCTGTTCATTTATATTGGAGGCAACTGTCAAGATGAGTGTTTAAAGAGCATAACCTACGTAATTTGGATCCTTAATAGTTATATGTATTGAGCTCTTAGTTTTTGCAAGTCCTTGACTGGTTATATTATGTGCATTCTGCCACTGAGTCCTTACAGCAGACCTGTGACTTATGTAGATACGATCATGTTCATTAAAATAGTAAAACAGTAAAACAGTATGGTAATTATAAGGGTTAGATGAATGAATTTTTTTGAAGGACCATTACTCAGTAAAGCACATACCTACGGAAGTCCTTGTCAAAGCCCTTGGCCACACAAATAATTTACTAGGTGAGTTTACTTGGAGAGTAGACAGATGGTCTCAGGTGAACTCTTATCCAGGCAATGATGAGACCTGACAGTCCTGTCTTGACACCAGAGTACACCTTTCTCATGATTTAAATGTTGGAGTCCTTCTCTCCTTTGAACAGAACTGGATTAGAAAATCTAATGTCTCCCTTCTCCAGCTTTTCTTGTTTTTTGATTTCGTGTTAGAAACCAACCTCTTTTCCCTTCCACCCCATGTTCTGTAAACTATTTTGATAGAATTAGCTCTGTTCAAATTAATTAGCTTGGGCTTAAGGTTCAAGCTTGAGGTTGAAATCACGTGTTTCACAGAGTCTACACACACCTATCCTCTACTGAACTGACATAATGTAAAGAGTGATACTTGTTATAGGAAGATACTATCTAGTGTTTTTTTTTAAACCTGAAATTTCATACTGATGAGAAAGAGTACTAGTATCTAGTCCTGGGACTAAGTAGAGAATTTATTTGGTCTAGTGTTAAAGGGCGTTCTGTGAAACACTGGTTCATTGGGAGGTTAAAAGGTGATTTTAACCTCCTTTTAATTTGGGATGCCCTGCCTACTATGCCATTTAGAGTACTAAGAGATCTGAGAAGATTAAAGCAGCATAAAGTGCAAGATAAAGGGAGACTGAAGTCATAGAGCAGAAGTCTAAGGTCACAAATCAACATTGTTATGCTTTTCCCAGTATACCTCTGCAAGGTTCTCTTACTAGTTTAGAAGAAATATTGGATTATAAGACCTGTGTGTGTGTGTATGTGTTTTGTGGGTGTTTTTACACACACAAAATTATAGTTACAATGACAATAAAAGACTGCAAAATTAAATAAGATAATAGGCATTTACGTGTGCTTATTGTGTGCTAGGTCTGCATGTTACAAACGCCTCTGCAACATACTCAGTCCTCTTTGGGTCCTGTGACATATCTCCATTTTACGTATTAGAATATTGAACAAAAAGGCGTTTTATGTAATTTATTCAAGGTCACTAAGCCAGTATTTTTTTTTTAATTGATATACAGTCTTATGAAGGTTTCACATGAGCAATGGTGTGGTTTCAACATTCATCCGTATTATCAAGTGCCCCCCCACCCCCACCCCATTGCAATCAGTGTCCATCAGTATAGTAAGATGACTAAGAAAGTATTCTTAGATTTAAAAAAAAATATATATATATATATATAAAAATCGGGCCACCAAAGGGGGTTGGTACCTACATATTAGAAGACCAAATTCTACAGGAGACTGAAAATGTTGCCTGCAAATCCATAAGCAAAGGATGTATTCTTATTAGCCTTGGCTACAGTGGTAATGGGCTGCTCTTCCAACCTAATTATTTACATTTTGGGAGTGAAGAGAATAATGATGGTGCCAATGGGGGTTTTTGTTTTGTTTTTGTTTACTCTAGAAAATGACAAAAGATCATTTGGTAGAAGAGAAAACCTCTCTCCAGAAAAGTCTTCTTTACTATGAAAGTCAACATGGAAGACCGGTAATGTCTCTTTTGCTAAAAATATTTGATTTTATATCCTAAGAAAGATGAATCACTTCTGGGGCCCACATCTTTGGAGTTGTTTTATAGAGCATTGTTCCCTACATTTGGGGGATTGCCTACTTAAAATAATTTTTTAAAAATCGGGGGGAAAGTCATATTGCTGAATGTTTTGGACATTTTAGCTTTCTGATGACTAGGTAATTTCGCTTTTTCTTGCTTCAGGTGACCAGGGAGGAAAGGTACATTGTTAAACCTCTGTATGATAGATACAGGCTTGTAAAACAGATGCTGACAAGAGCTAGCATCACTCCTGTCCTTGTAAGTAAAACATGAAAATACTCATCTAGTTCATTTTACCAAGATCCACTCTTTAAAAAAAATTATTATGGTGGCTTAATGGAGAAATACACAGCCAAGGTAGCAAGAATTATATATGTAAGGTGAGGTTACTTCTTTTAAAAGAATAGAAAATTAATAATAAGTGCCTATTCCTATCTCCCAGGCACTTTTATAAGCATTTTTTATGTATGATTGATTATGTCATTAAAGACTGACAAGTTAAGTCACAACAGGTAGCAGACGATAGCCTCATTTCACAGATGATGAAACTGAGGCCCAGGAGTGATGTGCCCAGGGGGACCTATTTTGTATAATTAAAAAACCTGCGCTTCAGACCACTGTCCTGTTTCTTTCCATTTAAATTCACAACTTTGAAAATAAACCAGTTTTCTGATGGCTGTCATCATGATGTTGATGTAATAGTAATATTCATTTTTTTCAAGTTCACCTTATCTTAATGAAAAAGTGTATTTAAACAATGCTTATTCATACTAGTGTACATTCTTTAGAGAAAAATGGAAACTCTAATACTGAGGTGCAAATTAAGTGCCATCCCCAAACCAACCATTAGATAGTATGGCTCTCGATTTCTCTCAGACTCAAATAGGAAACAGTATGTAGCCCATTCTGCATCGTCTAGTAGGAGTTAATTCACTGGAGCTTCGTGTGCTTAGGCATGAATATGATTTTTATGTTGATAGTCACTTGCTTGAGGATTTCCTTCAGGCACTGACTACCTGACTACTCATTATTATTAGAAAGTTTACATTGGCATCTGAGCCCTTTTTATTTAGCCTGTATAAAATGATTATTTTTCAGTTGGCTGTTTTTTTAGTTGGTCATCTCAATCCTACTTTATTTAGATACAATCAGTTTTCTTTGAACAAGAAAATCCTGTATAGTTTATGTTCTTGGCATTTAGGACAGTTAATTTAATTCAGCTTTGTCCTTTGATTACAGGGTATTTTTGTGTGTTACTGACATTTGCATAATTCCATGATAGTATAGTTTTTGAATTTTTATGAAAACCATCTTAGAATTCCACAAGTTTGTTTTTAAAAAACTGAGTCTGAGGAAATATTTCTAGTTCTTCTCATGGACTCCTCCTAAATACAACTATCATAAAGAAATTTGAAGTCTAAAAGTTAAGGCAAGACAATTTGATAGAAGAGTAGTTTTTTCCAAACAAATGGTGCTAGGATAACTGATATGCACATGCAAGAAAAGATACATTTAGACCCTTATCTTACACAAAATTTAACTCACAATGCATCATAGTCCTAAATAGGGGAGCTAAAACTATGAGAAATAGAGGAACAAGTCTTTGTGACCTTGGATTAGGCAGTATTTTCTTGGATAGGACACCAAAAACAGTGACAAAAGAAAAAATTAATTGGGCTTTATTAAAATTAAAAACTTTTGTCCATCAAAGGACACAAAGTGAAAAGAGAACCCACAGAATGGGAGAAAAATGTTGGCAAGTCATGGATCTGATAAGGGATCCAGAATATATAAAGAACTCTACAATTCAATAATAATAAGATGTAAAACCCAATTTAAAAATGGGCAAAGGATTTGAATAAATATTTCAAACGGCCAGAGAAGATGTATAAATTGGCTATTAATCCCATGAAAAGATGTTCAACATCATTAGTAGGAAGTACAAATAAGAATCACATTTAGATATAACTTAGACCCATCAATATTGTTGTAATCAAAAAGACAATAGTGTTGGCAAGGATATGGGGAAATTAGAACCCTGATGAGAATATAAAGTGGGGCAGCCACTTAGAAAAATAGGCAGTTCCTCAAAAGTTTAAACATAAAATTACTGTATGGCCTAGCAGTTCTCCTCCAAGAGGAAGTATATGGCCGAGAGAATTCAAAATATGTTCACACAAAAACTTATACACAAATGTTCATAGCAGCCTCTCATAAGAGGCAAAGTGTAGAAACAACCCAAATATCCAGCAACTGGCAGATAAAATGTGATACATCCATATAATACTTATTCATACTCCATATATTCATTCGTAAAAAGGAATGGAGTACTGATGCGTACTATATAACATGGATGAACCTTGAAAACACTTAGGCTAAGTGAAAGAAGCCAAACACAAAAGACCGCATGGTATATGATTCTATTTACATGAAACACATAGATCAGGCCAGCCCATAGAGACAGAAGGTAGATTCATTTGTTTTTCCCAAGGGCTGTGGTGTAGAGGGCAAATAAGTAACAGCTAATGAATGAATACAGGGTTTCTTCTGTGAGTGATGAAATGTTTTGGAATTAGATAGTGGCAGTCGTTGCACAACTTTGTGAATGTACTAAAAACCACTAAATTGTACACTTTTAAAGAGTGAGTTTTATGATATGTTAGTTATATCTCAATGAAGCTGTTATTTTTTTAAAAGGAGTATAAAGGTGTCCTCAGACCAAAAAAATTGACAGCTATTGTTAAAAAGATATTCCAAATTAAATTACATGTAATGCTTCTTATTTAGAATTTTAAAAACACTTATTGAATAAGCTTTTTTAGAATTATCTAGACATAAATTATAATTTGTCACTTTGTACATACATAATAAGAAAATATAAGCAAAAATAAATTTACTAAGGAATTCCTAGAAAAATTTAAAGGATGTGTTTAGGATTTTGACAATGAAGTTTAATATCTATAGTGGAGTGAAGCTTTATTGAACACTCAAGTACTTAAAATGTGTAAACCATTTTTGTGTTGATTGTTATAGGGCTCTCCATCCACAAAACGAAGGGGTCAGATGTTACAGCCAATCATAGAAGGAGAAACTGCACATTTTTTTGAAGAAATCAAGGTAATCCTTAAGAGAAATCATTCTCTGATATCTTCCTAAAGGAAAAGTTGAGTCAAAAGTTTATTTGATTCTCTGGATTATTTTGTTAGGAAGAAGAAGAAGATGGTGTTAACCTATCCTCTGAGTTGACTGATATCTTGAAAACTGCTGTACAGGCACAGTCTTCACTGGAAAACTCAGAATCTGATATTGAAGAAAATCAAGAAAAACTGGCTCTGGATCTCCGATTGTCAAGTACTCGAGCAGCTTCTATGTATGTATGCTGGTTTGTGATTTTAGCCTATCTGTATAATAAAATTCATGTGCCAGGAAATTCAGCGTTAAATAATTGAGCACTTGCAGCAAATTAATACAGTGCTCAAGAGATACACCTTTTTTATAAAGTGTGATTTACAAATACATATTGTCATTCAGAATTTAAAATTAGTGGTTTTAAAATTAAAAACACTAAAATCCTAACATTTGCTGCACCAAGTGCAGGAACCAACTGAGAGTAATCTGTTAGTTCTCTATCAGCTTCTTTACCGGATAAAGTATGTGACTGTGGTTCTCAGTCCTCTCTTCACTTTAGGATCACTTTGGAAGATTTTTTTTACAAGTACTTGATGCAGACTCTACCTGCAGCTATTCTGGTTTAGTTGGGCTGGGGTGGAGCTTAGGCACTGGTGAATTCTAAAAGCTCCACAGCTGACTTCAGTTTGCAGCCAGTGTTTGAACCCATTTTAAGAACTTTATGAATCAACAGTGTTTCAATAATGTTTTCTCCCCTACTTAAATTTTAGGCCTGAATTACTGGAACAACTTTGGAAAGCCAGAGCTGAAAAAAAGAAATTGCGTAAAACATTACGGGAATTTGAAGAAGCATTTTATCAACAAAATGGAAGGTTTGTTGAGCATCACAAAATTGAGTCCTCTTTCTCCTTATACTTACAAGTGCCCATATGTTAGAACAAAGGCATTTTTAGGCATAGAAATAATAAATTGTGCATGTAAGGATGTCAGCATAAAAATTTAGAAAACATTCCTTTATACTTTGAAGTCCTGCTATTAATGGTAAGAAAAGAAGCAGAAGTAAACATCTGATAAAATATTTTGTCCCAGGGAGGCTTCACTGACTGGTTAGTTTATGTTCTTTAATTCTACGTCCTCACCCTTTGAGAAGTGTTTGTGAAAGGAGAGTGGTATCCTTTCTGTGATGGGTGGTGTCCTCAGCTGCTGGGTTCTTGGACTGAGATGGCTGCAGCTTGGGCTGGGTGCTCGGTCCCTCCGGGCGGCCCGTCTAGAGCTGTGTAACTGTGGCAGTCATGTAGCTCCTGTAGTACAGTGTAGCAAGTGCCTTCATCTCAAAGTTGACCCAGTGAGGCTCTTTTAAAAGGAAGAATAATACATTCCAATTCAGGTGTTGGTCAGAAATGAAACCTTAGAAAAGTTTTTCCCTGTAACTGGGTGGTATTACCTACCCAATAGCTATATTACAAATTGTAAAATGTGTGTATATTTAATTTGAAGGTTTTCTATATAGGTTGGCAAAAATGGTTTAAAAAAAATCTTCAGTGAAGGCATGCATTTTTCCAAATACCTTTTATAGTTCTTTGTCTTACTGGAAGAAGACTGCTTATAATTAATCTTAGGGTGATTTGATGCTTTACCTAGTGATTAAACAGAATTGCATTGGGTCATTAATATAAAGTGAGGAAACTCCTTTTTTGCTGTGGATAAAATATTTTATATCTCAATTCACTAAACCCATAGTTAAGTAAGTGTACATGACATGACTCAGTGTAGCTCTCTCTCTGTAGCACTTAATATACATCCATATACTGATGGAGCCTAGCAATGCATGGGTTTTAAGATACTTGGTTACCTCTGTTCTACAGTTATTGTTATAAGTATAGCATCATTTAATCTGTCAATAGAGAAATCCATCATAAATAGAGGCATTTTAGGGATGTTCCTTGGGGGTGAAATAGGGGGAGTTAGTACAATAATCTTTTGTCTTACAGAGAAATTTTTAATTTGTTCTTATATTTGGTAACATTCTGTCTCACATTAAGACAATTCTGGGACTTTATTTTCCAGACGATCTCTAGAATATTACAGAGTTTATCTTCTCCCCTAGGAATGCCCAGAAAGAGGATCGTGTTCCAGTGCTTGAGGAGTACAGGGAGTACAAGAAAATTAAAGCCAAGCTTAGGCTTCTTGAAGTTCTTATCAGCAAACAAGATTCTTCAAAATCCATATAAATTCCTTGAAAACATCATAAAATGAGTTGTATTCCCTGAAGCTATCATCGTGTACACTTGGCTGGTACTTGCGTTCATTTTGTCAGGCACTTGGTCTCATTTTGTACTTGGTTGTGGTGCCATTAGAGAAGTGCTGGGAGGGTGAGTGGACCCTCTCTAGGGAGCGCGCTGTTCCATATTAACCACAGACTGTCCTCTCCACCCTTAGCAAACATTCAGTTTTCTTCATTGTTTTATACTACAGATAAATTCTGGTAGCAAAAGACTAGTATTTTTTCCTTTCGACTTCAAGAACTTTGGAAATACAAGCATTTTGTATTGCCAACTTTATTATTATTTTTTCATTACTGAAGAAAATTGAGAGGAAAACCTTCACATTGAATTCTTCAGTTGCCTTTTTCTTAAAGAATGACTGAAAATTTGAAAGAAAAGCCTGTAAGTGTGCACGTATGCAGCTATGTTCTATGTTTTCCTAGGAAACCAAATCAACTCAAATTTCAAGGCCTACTGTGGAACACACTTCTGTTTAATGCCCAAAGTGACACTTTTTCACAGGTAGTATGTTAGCAAAACTTTGCATTCAGTGGTCACACGGCTCCTGGATGAAGATGAGAGGGTAGACCCAAAAGTGACCTTGCTTATTAGTATATTGAAAACACATCCCACACAGAACCAATCATATCACATGCTGCCTATGGGACTTAAGTTACAGTTTGTTTCCTCAGTTACTGTTTATCAGCTGGTGGTGATGTGATTTGTCTGGATCAGATCCTGCATTTTTCCCCCCTACTCACCTCCAGGTAATGTGAGAAAATAGCCATGTCAGTATGTAGGAACTCTGATGGTGCTCAGATTCGTGTGTTCAATCAATTGGGCCTAAATTGGCAAAAGAATCATTATGCCTGAAGTAAATCTGTTCTTAATAAGGGCTATACCACTGCATCTTTATGTGACCTTCAGTGGGTTACATTATTGTTTTCTCTTTCCATCAGCAGAATCTGTAAAAAAAAAAAAAAAAGCCCATCCTCCAAAGGGACCACCTTTTTGCGCAGTCACGCTGTTTAAAGCAGCTGGTTACAGAAAGTGTAGTGGTATGCCCTTTGTCTCATATTCTAAGCATACCTTTTTTCTTCGGCTTTGCATGGCTTTTCTCCAGGTTCTTTCCTGGTATTGTTCTGCTAATCATTTTCACAGAATGGTGACTTTATTTGTGCTAATAGTATAACAGTCATATTAACAGCATATTCTGGTCAGGCTTAACCTAAGTGTTAATTTTTTTCCTGGTGCTTCCTTGGATTGAAGTGTCTCACTTTGTGCCCATGTTTTGCATGCAGTAATTCATGCATGGTTTTTCTGACTAGCTAATATTAACAGTTTGTTCATACAAAACGGACTTTTGCAACATCATTTAATAAGGTGAGGGAAGCATGGACCTCAGATTTCTGGCACTGTTTTGTAGTAACCACATGAAGTAGCTTGGTAATAAGTAGCATTTCTAGTATACTTTACATTTCACTTGTGTGTGCAATGCCTTGTTTTGTGGGGAGGGAATATTCGTTGGTAGTGAACTTGTAGTTGGGCAATAAAGCACTAAATCCAGCCCTTTCGTGTGATTTCCTTTTGATCCAGCGAGGTTATTCATAATGTATACCTAGAAGAGTGAAATTGAAAATGCCAAACAATGTATCACTTTGATTTGACTCCATCATGCAGTGTACATTTAGCTAAATTCTTTCAGTCTCCAGACAAGAGTATTTCCAAACATCTACTTTAATGTGCACTGTATATTATTTTATATGAATGTTTTATTTTATATACCACATGCAAAAATGTCCATATGCACTATTTAAATGTTTTAAATAATATATTCCTTCTTTATAATGCTAAATCTATATGAGTACCATATTTTTATAAGTCAGTGGCCTGACTGGTTTCATTTTAGAATTAACAGCTGCTTCATGATGTTGGTTAGTCACTGTTAATGTTTGGCTGTGAGTAGAATAGATAAAAATGGCATGGCAGCATTTAACGCTCTGTGACAGTATTGTGCATCATAGCTGAGCAGTAGGTGGTAGAATTAGGCAGTTCGTTATAGTTTTACTTTGGTACAAGTAAAAACTGTATATCTATATACAAGTAATATATAGATATATATAATCACCAGTATAATTGCATTGCTGTGTCTGGCACTTCATTGTATAGCCTTTTGTAATAAAAGAACTTGAATGTTCTGAGTCATTGTAGATGTTTTTTATTTGTTTCTTAGGTTTTTTTTGTTTTTGGTTTTACTAGATGTTAAAAAAGAAAAAAATTAAGACCTTAAGTGTTCTTCCTTTGCCTTAGTGTTCTTAGTCTTTGTTTAAATTACCCCAACCAGGGACCATGTCAGGGAACAACGTTACTAAACCACGTGGCTGGCTGTAGCTTCCGGGAGTGGTAAGACAGAGGCCATGTGGTTGATTCTCTTATGGAAATCCGTTCCAAGAGAATAGTCAGCATTTCTTGTTTCAGGATTCCTATTAAGAAAACTTGACTTACAGACTCTAAGAGAAAAGCTTGGTCTGAGGAAGGTGGGTATGTGTAAGATACCTTTATTCGAGTTTGAAAGCCCAGGGACTGTTGAGCACGCGTGTGGAAGCTGAGAACCATGGCCGAATGACGCCGCTTGGGCTAAGCGAACATAGGGCCTTTCTGGGATGGCTTATCGGACCTACGGAAACCAGAAGAGCTTCCTTCCAGCTCCCGCAGTGCCGGCCAAGCAGCGCTTTCCGACCGTCCAGACTAGGCTTTCGTGGCTCCCTCATTCGCACTTTCAAACGTAACGACTTATAACCCTGTTACCTCCTACCTTGCTCTTTATTTTTTAAAGCATATTTTGCTTTTAAAGTAGTTGAGGACTTTTGGAAACCTTTGAATGTGTTACTTAGAAACTGTCTAGAAGAATTTCCCATTTGAAAGTGTTAGTGGAAGTTCTCTAGGTGTTTGGGAAGTTTGTTCTTTTATACTTTGGCTTTTTCCAGGAGACTTCAAATTGGGAAGAATGGAGGTAAGATTTTTTTTTTAACTTGGGGTCTTCTATAATGGTTTTCCAGAGTCGAAAACATTTATTGATGTATGGCCAGAGGGAGTTAGAACCTGGTACGTGATGAGAGCACCGGAGTTCTTACACTTCGTGTAATATTGAGAAAACTATCTTAAGTATTGAACTGTTGGAGACCTGCTGTATGAACTGTAAGCAGCATTATTTTATACTTTCCCTTTACATTCCTAGAGTGTAATAATAAATCTTATGAAGTCCTGTGTCTGCAGCAGTGTGTGTATACTCTGGAGGCGTGTTGTAATATGCAAGGACTGTACAGTGGGTCCCATGCAGGGGCACTTAATTCCTGGATATCATTTGATGATTATCGTTGACCTCAATGACAGGTGGTTCAGGGCTTTTAAAGTGCACCTGAAATGGAGACAAGTTTAGTAAGTAATTCAATATAGGAATAAGTATTTGTTAAAAATGCCCAATGATTGCATCACAGATTCTTACTTCTACTTGTCTCAGTATTGTAGAGCTGAAATCTTTTTCATCACTCGGTTTAGTTTTAAACTGACGTAGTGTAATTCTTTCTCCAGCTCCACGGCATATAAAAAGAGTCTAGAGGGTAATTTGGAAGGAAGTAGAGAATGAATCAGTAACATACTTTCATGCATAAAGAGACAGCAGGTTATTAGTGCCTATCATAAAAACCTTTGAGAGGGAAGATTGTGCTTTAAACTACTAAAAAATATCTCTTATGGCTGTTGTGGATTCTAAAGCTGTGTGGAGAACAGTATCTGCTATGCATAGCAAGTATAAATGGCAGTTCCTAATATAGAGAGGTAAGGATAAAAGCAGTCATTCTCACATTACACTTAAGCACATGGAATCTTGTGCTTTCTTTTTAATTTTAAAGTTGGGTAGAAGTTGAAAAAAGTGGCATCTCAAGAGAGTAAGGTTGTAGATTCCGAAAGACAATGTGTGTAACTCAATCCCCATGTCATGATATCCCACAGTACCCTGGCTGAAACAAATGCTTACTCTTGGAATTCTTGTTGAGTGACAGGCTGGTAGTCATCTTGAATTTCTATAGAATAATACTTTTTCTCAAGCCTCTCTTTCCATTTTTTCATCTGCTCTGATCTTTGAATTTCCTGTCAAGTTAGAGGAAAAACACAGGCCGCCACCATTAAATTTTTCTGTATTCCAAGTCTTAGGCACACAAACATCACAGAGTTGAGAATCTTGAATTCTCTACTCTCCAGGGCTGTGGTTTGAGCCCCACTGGTTTTTGCCCGGCTAGTTTTTAGGTTTGTGTATCATCAGAGTCAGTTCAGAGGACCTGATTCTAGAACTGTCTCAGAATTAGGGGATTAAAATTTTTTAAATTACCAAATTATTCTCATTTTACTCCCTCTTCTCCGCTGTATCTCCAGTTTAGTTTATTCCTGATTTTCTCTGTTCTTCCCTTGGTCAAAGCTGAGATGTTCTTTTCTATACCTCTGTTCTTTAGTGAAGCAAATGTATTTCAAAGTACACCTGTGGGTGTTCTTTGCCTTCCCATCTGCTACTCAGCCAGCTCCTGCAGTCCTACTGAATAATCCCCAATCCACTCCTAATAATTACTCATCACTCTGTCCACTCCATTCTGTCCATATACCCCAAAATAAGCTCCTCATACGAGAGAGTTTTTGCTGCTGCATCCTTCTGTGATCTCAGAGTGCTTCCCATGCTTTGTCATCACTACCACCCACTTTCCAAAGGTAGTGTCCACATACCTTTTCCCCAACTTTAGAAAAATGCCTTGTTCTGCAAAATAAGGACAGCCCTAGAAAAGGGGAAAGAGGAGACACTGCTCCCAGGTACGATTCAAAGACTTCTCTGTAAGTCAGTATGATACTGCCCTGCTCCAGCAGTAACTCAAGGTAGCAAAGTGGACCCCTGTGTAAGTGTTCGGAGTTTCAGAGTACCTTCCTCAGGATGGTGATGCCTGTGTTCATACTCTAGGCTTCCCTAATGAATCTGTGCTGTTCTGGTCAGAGAAACTGTATCAGATAGTGTCTTTACAGGCGTATCTGAAGTAGGAAAGGATGGCTTTCAATCTTTCTAGTTTTATTTTGGCCACATTATAGCACCGATGGTTTGTCATAGTTCCTGATACTTTTCATGTGGTAAAAATGCGTAGTCCCTCTGCCATTTCTAAATGACCATGCCTGTTGTAACTGAGATGCATTAGTAATATGGACTGAAGAGACTATGCCTGGTAAGCTTGACTCATCTTCAGAAGACCCATTTTAATTACTTTTGTTGTGAAGCCTTCCTTGACATTCATAGGAAAGAAGTACCTTTACTCATAGGCAGAAAAGCGATTCTTTGGGTGCATTTTCTTCAAGCTCCTAGATTCTAGTCACTCCACCTCTTCCCAGTAGGTTTTAGCTGTCTCTCCCAGTTGTCCCTGGGTTAGTGTTAACTGGCTCTTAAAATCCTTTAGTAACTCAGAAACAAATTCTCTGTAGCAAATGCCCTCTTTTTGAACTACCTAGTGTGTTTCTGTTTGTCTGATTGGACCCTACCTAATGAGTATGTGGTAGCAGGGGAGGGCCAAAGAAACAGACCCTCACAGGTAGCGTGCTTACACCAGGGGACACAACAATTGACTTAAGAATTAGAGACTACCAGCTGGTCATTTGGGATTCCTCAGACCACTGAACCAGCGAGCAGAGAAGTGGGTACTCAGCTGAGGTGACTGATCCCAGTCACCAAGGGGACATTGGTTGCTGCTACAAAGAGGTGCAGAGAGGGTTGTATTTGGAACCCAGGGAATTCTGGGACAGGGGTTGCCTCTATACAGCTATGTCCAAAAATAAACATTGTAAGTTAAACATTAAATTCTTGACAAACTGTGATTCAATTAGAAAAGGTCTTAACATTACCCAGGTATGAATACAATAACCATTGGGACTTTGCTTCTCCCATTTTGTTTTTTTCTTTTTTCTTGAAGTATTGCTGATATACAATCTTATATTGGTTTCACATATACAACACAGTGGTTCAACAGTAAACCCATATTATATCAATCCTCACCCCCACTAGTGCATTTACTATTTGTCAGCATAGAAGGATGTATACGGGAACACAACAGTTTTTTGTGTATTTTGTATCCTGCAACTTTGCTGAATCCAATTATTCTAATAGTTTTTTGGTGGATAATATCATGTCATCTGCAAATTGTACAGTTTAACTTCTTCCTTACCAGCTTGGACGCCTTTTGTCTCTTTGGGTTGTGTCATTGCTGTGGCTAGGACCTCCAGTACTATGTTGAATGAAAGTAGTGAGAGTAGACAGACATCCTTGTATTGTTGATCTTAGAGGAAAAGCTTTCAGCTTTTCACCATTGAGTATGCTGTTAGCTGTGGGTCTGTCGTATATGACCTTTATTATCTTGAGGTATGTACCTTCTTATGCCCATTTTGTTGAAAGTTTTTATCATGAATGAATGTGGACTTTTGTCAGATTCTCTGTCAGCATCTGTTGAGATGATCTTCTGGTTTTTATCCTTCTTTTTGTTAATGTGGTGTCTGATGTTGATTGACTGACAAGTGTACCATCCTTGCATCCCTGGAATAAATCCCACTTGGCCATGATGGATGATCTTTTTGATGTATTTTTAAATTTGGTTTGCTAATATTTTGTTGAGGAATTTTGCATCTATGTTCATCAGGGATACTGGTCTATAATTTTCTGTTCTTGCAGTGTCTTTGGTTTTGATACTAGAGTGATGCTGGCCTCATTGAATGAGTTTGGAAGTATTCCCTCCTCTTCTACTTTTTGGAATACTTTAAGAAGGATGGGCATTAGCTCCTCTTTAAATGTTTGATAGATTTTAGCTGTGAAGCCATGTGGAACTGGAATTTTGTTTGTTGGGAGTGTTTTTCTTACCCATACAGTCTGTTCAGACTCTCTGTTTCTTCCTGGGTCAGTCTTAGAAGGTTGTACTTTTCTAAGAATTTGTCATTTCTTGTAGGTTGTCCAATTTATTGGTACATGTTTCTATGTTTCATAGAATTCTCTAATAATTCTTTGTTTTTCTGTGGTATGCATTTTTGACTATTCGTTTTTCATTTCTGATTTTATTTGTGTACTCTCTTTTTTTCTTGATAAGTCTGGCTGGCTAGGGGTTTGTCTGTGTTACTTATTTTCTCAAAGAAACAGCTCTTGGTTTCATTTATTTTTTTTCTATTGTTTTATTCTCTATTTTATTTATTTCTGCTGGAATCTTTATTATGTCCCTTCTACTGACTTTGATTTTGTGAATAGTTGGTTTTTACTACTTTTGTTTTAATTTCATACTTGCTTGGTACGTAATTGGTCTACTACTTTTATTTTCACTGATGAAAACTATTTAGGCTTAGGAACATTTCATCTATAGAAGTCCCTTTAACATATCTTGTAATGCTGGTTTAGTGGTTATAAGTTTCCTGGCCCTTTGTTCATCTGGGAAATGTTTAATCTCTCCTTCAAATTTGAATGATAATCTTGCTGGGTAGAGTATTCATGGTTGAAGGTCCTTCTGTTTCAGTACATTAACTATTTCATACCACTCCCTTCTGGCCTGTAAAGTTTCTGCTGAGAAGTCTACTGATAGCCTAATGGGATTTCCCATATAAGTAATCTTTTTTCTCTCTCTGGCTGCTTTCAATATTCTCTCCTTATTTATGTTATGATGTTATTTAAGTTCAAAAGAAGTTAGTTAATTGAGAAGATTACCTTATAATTTTTTCCTCCTTGTCTCTTTGTCCTCTACTGCCCACCTATATTTAATAATATTACCCTATTTTGTTGTATCTGAGAGATGAAGTCTATTGTAAGATAACACCATTACTTTATGTACCACTTAGCAATAAAATGGTACCACTTAAAGTCTGACAGCATCAACCATAAGGCACATCCTGATTAGAGACATGTTAAAGTGTGTTTTCAAATCAATAAAACAGTTTCTTATTGTGTAATTTTGTACTCTTAAATGTGCTAAAGTTTTTTTTCTTGGTTATTAACTCTAAGTGATAGTTATTTAACTTTTAGCTATTACGTTTGAACCAATCACTTAGCTTTTTCTACTTTCTACTTTCTGTCTTCCTTCCTTTTACCAAAACTTCTCCAAACATCTCTTGGCTGAAGTTGATCCTCTTGTAGAATCATCAGAGATACAACAATACTCCCTGAGTTCTTATGTGTTTACAACTGTTTGAACCTTTATATTGAAGCACAGCTTGGCTGGATATAAAAATCATTGGCTTACTTTACTTTCCTTATCAATACAAATACATTTTATCTCCTAAAGTATTTGAAGTTGCCGAAATGATGTTGCCATTGTCCCTGAATACTTCGTTATTTCATGGTAAAAGGATCTAGACCAGAATTGTGCAATTATATTTACTTGTCTTTTAATCTCATTCAGTCTAGCATTGTTCCTCAGTTTTACCTTAACTTTCATGACCTTGACACTTTTGAAGAATATAGGGCTGTTATTTTGTAGGCTGTCCTTCAGTTTAGTTTTGTGTGATGTTCCATCATGCCAACATCTTTGGCAAGAATGTTACAGAGGGATGTTGTGTTTTCTTGTCATTCTGTCAGGTGGTGTATGATTTTAACTTGTTCCAGTACTGATTAAGGTAAATATCTGCCAGACTTTTCCACCCTGATAGTACTCCTTTTCTTTTTGTTGTTAACATGTATTTTGTGAAGAGGTGTGGAAATGTCCCACTCTTCCTTGGACTTACACTCATGTATATGTTTAGATGAATATGGAATGGTGGAATCCTATTTTAGGCAATGGATTATATAAATCACTATTCCTTATAGTTCTTAAATATTTCCATATTTGGCCAGTGGGAGCCCCTTCAAGCTGATTCTTATGTGCTTTTAACAGATCATTCTTTGAGCACTTTTACGTTAAAGATAGTACTATACTTTGAAGTTCAACAAGATATTCCAGACTCATCTTGTACTTTCCAGCCCTGGAATAAGCCCTATCTCCAAGGAGGCCCCGATTTCTTTTAGAGGAGTATGGTATTTGGAAACCAAGATCTGGGAACTAGTTGTGTTATTGTTTCTAGTCTTTTCAGTAGACAGAGCTTGAAAATGCATATACATATATACATATATACATGTACAATTCTGATCCAACACCATAAGGTTAATTTTACCCTTCAACCTTTCCATTTTTATAATTCCCTTATCTGATAATAAGAAACCTCAAAAGATGTACTTTCTTGCTTACTCCAATTTCCCTCTGCTGCTGACCTCATTCTCAGCATATTGCAGAGTCAGGGGCAACCAGAAGTGTAGCAGTGAAGCAGTGTTCTAATTTTTCCAGTTGGGTGGTGGTATGTGGTGGATTGCATTATAATTTTTTCCTAAAGATATACATGGTTAGTCATTTGTTGCATATATATGTTATACTTTTGAAACAAAAATCATTTAAGTGATTCATCATATTAATGGTTATAAGAGAAAAGTTATATAATCATCTCAGTAGAGTATACTTGCTAAGACCTGTGTACAGGGAGTGTACAACTGTAGGATCAGGGTATCTGGCTGAGAGCTCCAAAAAGAAAGGGGGGGGGCAGCATCTGGAATCTAAATGATTTGTCCTAAACAAGAAATGACCTAGATTCTGGGAGAAATATTTGGAAGGTGGCAACTACTGCTCTGAAAAATACAAACACTTTTTCTTAATCAGAAATTTTTGTAAGCATATATCTGATAAAGCTATTGATTTTTAATTAGAAAATTAAAATCTTACAGTTTCATCAAAGCCTTCTCTTTGGGCTTCTTCAACCAAATCTCTGCTTTTCATACTGAAAATATAAAATAAAAATCAGAGACATATGACAGTAAAAAGGGAAATGCCAGCATAAAATATAATCGGATGTACAGTAAGGATCTAAACTGCATTTCTGTTCTTTTTGATAATGCTTATTACGAAAATGTCCTTAAAATTTGTTCAGAGTGGTACATCTCTAACTATAAAAAAGTCTACATTATATCCTACATTGCCAAAAGTCTGAGTTTGGAAGCAATCTGATATCAAAATGATTTAACAAATGTGTGTCCTTAAAGATTTTGTATAAAAAAGTTTTTAGTTTGATAGGTAAGTAAATGCATTTAATGTAAACTAAAGTTGTTTCTTACCTTTTTAGAGGGACTTTACTCTCCTGCCCAGCTTTGTCTTAAAGCTTTTTCTGGGTAGCATGGCATGCCTTGTGTAAGTTTTAAATTAGCTTAGAATTTCATAACAATCAAGTTAGGAGGTACTACTGGATGTATTGACAACATATTTAGACTCAGCTCATTGGATGTTGGTGGTTTTGCGATCAATAGTAAGGTAAGTATTTAGGAAAAACAATCTGACCTTTTCTTGTCTTCATCCTCTTGAGGTTTCTTTAGTTTGAGTTTCTCTAGAGCATTATTAAAACTCTATAGATACAAATAAAATAGTTAAAAAGTTCATCAAGAATATGTCCAGTATTGCTAATTTTTGTTCAAGGTAAAAGAAATAGGGGATGGTAGTCTCCAGGGACTGCTACCCTAAAGAAATGTGGAGGCAAATGCTATGCTTATGCTTCTTTCACCTTGTCACCACCTAAGGTTTTTGCCTGCTGGTGAAAAAGGAAATGGGATTCTCTTGTAGGCATCCACTTGAACTTAAAAAGAAATAATATTTAAGAAGTATTATTATCATTTGTTACATTAAGGATGGTAACACTTTAATGCACATAGCTAAAATCATAAGCTAAAAGATGAAAAGAAAACACAGGCTCATTTGAGGATACATTAGTTCTCTTTTGCAGATTGGTTCCTAGAGTTTTAAGCTCCTCTAACCCCACAGCTATCAGGACCTTTTCTGTGCAAAGTACTATGATTGGAGCTGTGGTTATGCTGAGATGGACAAGTCAGTACATGCATGAATGCTACAGCTCTAGTGAGGTAGGTGTCAAGAGGATAGGGAAGAGTCCACTCTGTCAGGGACAACAGAATGCCAGTGAGAGGGCAGAGGGAATATTCCTGGGGATAGGGAATGACATTAGCAGAGGCACAGAGTTGAGAGTGAAAGCAAACATGGTAAACAACCCTGTGCTCAGAACATTAGCTGAGATGGTACTGTATGTAGCTGGAGGCACAGAAGGTAGAATTTTATAGTTACATGATAGTGAATAAAGAGGCTGGGAAGGGCTTTGAATATGTGGGTAAATTGGACTTAATTTGAGAGGCTCAGGGAAACAGGAATTTTTGAGCAGAGAAATGATAGGGGCAGAATATGACTAGCATAGGGAAGAGGATAGAACAATTCAGAAGACATTCCTATACAGAAGACTGGATAACAAGGACTAAGGACCTTAATCTAGTGGTAGCAGTTAGAATTCAAAGTGTCCTTGAATTCCACAAATAGCAAAACCTAGAGAGATAAACTTTCCACAAGCCTTGGCTACAGACCATATAAGTGACAAAAGAACAAAAAGCTCAAAGTTTTTGAGCCATGGATGACTGAGAAAAGAGTGTTGCCATTGACAGAAATAGGAAGGTGAGGAAGATAAGGCACATGGAGTTCAGAATTTAGTTTATAAAAATTTACCAGCATAGGAGAGGGATTAAAGATGGCAGCTTGAGAGGTGAGACAGAAACCTCCTCCCCCAACCACATATAGTATGAAAATATAGTTAATACAACTAATCCTGAAAGAGCAACAGGAAAGAAGGCTGTGCCAGACTGCATACACCTGCAGAAAAGAACAGACCTCACAGAACTGGATAACTTAACCAAAGCCATGATCTGGAGGAATCCAAGCCCTTCTCCCACCCCAGTTCACCGGTGGGAGGAAGATAAATGGAGTGGGGAAAGGGTGGAGGCGTAGGACTGCTGAACACCCAGCCCTGGAGATCTGCTCTTGGAGTGCGAAGCTACACCATTACATGGTGCTCTAGAGATTAGTGGGTTTGGAAAATTGGTGGAATACTTGGAGAGACAGATTCCAGCTGCTTGTGGAAAATGGATCCACATCCAGCAGCTCTGGGACAAAAAGAAAGGCGGGCAGTCTGAGACTTCCAAACAGCGAGGGCTGTTAAAGGGGCAAGGATTGCACAGAGATTGCTGCCCAGGAGAAAGGGCAGGTGGACAAAAGTGGGTGCGCTCTGACCAGCAGGTTGGGAACTTCCATGAGCTTCAGGCACTCTGTCCCCCTGGATGGCTAAACAGCTCTAGGCCCCCCACTGTGGTATGCAGCCTGCTGCACCTTCCTTCCAGCCAGCACTGGCTCGCAAACCAGCTACCCTTCCCCTTGCACTAGGTCAGCCAGAGGGAGGCCCCGTGTTCAACCTGCAGGCTTGGCCCACTGGCCATGGCAGCAGAGGCAGGTACTGCAGCTGGGAAGTAGGAAAGAGCTCTTTCTTCCCGATGCTCCAATGCTGCTCACCTGCGACCCCCACCATTGCTCCAGGGGCTGAGCAGCTCCAGAGAGTAGAGCTTCTGGGCACTAGATGGCACCACATACAAATAAATGTCAAAGAAACCTGGTTCAACCTGAAATCCCACAAACAACATAAAGAGGGCCAACTGAAATTAAACTCAGCAATCTCCTGAAAGATTTTGAAATAAAAACCATAAACATGCTCATGGAGGTACACAAAGATATACAAGAATTAAGGGTAGAATTCAGGAATGAGATTCAATCATGAAAGAAAACAGTGTCTGAAATGAAAAATACAATGGAGGGATTTAAAAGAACATTAGATGAAGTAGAGGAGATGGTAAACGAAATAGAAATTAGAGAACAGGAATACAAAGAAGCTGAAGCACAGATAAAAGGATCTATAGGAGTGAAAGAATATTGAAAGAACCATGTGACCAATCCAAACAACAATATTTGCATTATAGGGGTACCAGAAGAAGAAGAGATCAAAAGGGATAGAAAGTGTCTTTGAGGAGGTAATTGCTGAAAACTTCTCCAATCTGGCCCAGGCTATGGAGGTGCAAAGATCTCTCAACACAAGGGATCCAAGGAAGATAACACCAAGATATATAATGATTAAAATGGCAAATATCAAAGATAAAGACAGACTTTTAAAAG